AAAACGGTTTCAATGTGTCAGTTTCAATGGTGATTTTGTTATTGCAAAAATGTGTGTAAGGAATCATATAGCACCTAAGTAATGTGGCTGTCACGGCAAATTCATTTTCTGCCGGAGAGAGGAGAATAGCAGAATTACACACACCGTGAACCAAATCTGCCCCCATTTATTGCTCGTGTCTCAGGAAGAACTGACATGGTAGCTGCTAAGAATAGGATCGGCAAAATGCTGTTGAAAAACAATTGGCTCCCTGTGACCCACATGCAGTTAGGCCTTTTATGGAAAATGGATGGAGATTTTCGCAAAATCAGAAGGTCACAGTGAGATTTAAAGCCACAAGTGACAGGTTCCCAGTACATCCGTTGGCCTCGTGTTCTCTATTCTTCCCAGCTGGTCTCTGCTGTTTTCTTTCTTCCCCACCGCTGCCTCTTTACAAGTGTACACAGCAGACAACCTTATAGGCAGGAGCTGTCAAGGCAAAAAGTTATCTGCATCATGTATCACTGTTTCTGCCCCAAATTGAGCTAACATCAAACATAAAGAGATGGCCTGGAACAGCCCGGGTTAGCATTCTGCGTGGCTGGAGGGGGAATTTCCTTGGCTTGCTTAATTTTTGGTGGGGTTTCCAAGTCCATATATCCCATGAATCCCCTAAACCACCCTGTCCCTTCATGAATATCTTTGGCTGATCCACCTGGGTTTGCTCACATCAGCCGCGAGCTCTCCATGCCATGCACTGTCTGCTCCGTGTAGGTGTTGGGTAAGACAGCCTTTCCGACTCCATGTGCATCCTGCATGCATAGGTAGAAAAGGAGCATGGCTGGCAATTGTGGGTCCTAGATCAGAACGAGCTTTTTTGCTTCAGTCCATTGCTTTGTCTTGACTCATGGAGCATTGGCTCCAGTCTACAATTACAGCACTGTGAGAGAGTGCAGTTGAGTTTATGGTGCCTTTATCTTTGTTCCCCTCCCACTGAGGCAACAGAAACCTTACCACTACTTTTCTTCACCTGGAGGCCATCAGGATTTAGTTGTCATCCCTCTTCTTGTTCCTTCCCTCCTGCTCGAATTTTGTCTTGGGTGTAACTTTCCCAGAGGGAATCCCATCTGGGGACCTCTTATGCCTCATCCTGTCATTTGCTTGCTAACCTCATCAGCTATTGATGCCACTCTGACTTCCTTGGGCTTGATGTAGCTGCTTAATTTGGGTTGAAATGGGCATGTCTACACGTTCCTTAATGCACTGTAGTTACGGCGCATTAAGGTTTAGTACCAGTAATGACAGGTGCTAATTTAATGTGCTGTAATCAGCACTACTGCACATTAGCACGGTGGACATTTTTTTTGGTGACACTACTGTGCATTAGACTAAATCTACTGCTCATTAACATGGGCTTTGCCCACCTTGCTAACAAGCAGCAGAGTTAGTCTTCTGCGCATTATCTCGTGTAGGTGCACCCAGTGCCATCTAAATTACCATTATTTCCACCAGCGTCAGATCTCAGTCACCCTGTTGTTAAATGTAGATATTAGGTAAGAAATGATTTGCTGTCAGCATCTCTGGTTCAGGTAAAACTAATTGCTGGCACTTCAGTATCCTCAGCTGTCTTACCCAACATGCCAGCGTCACTAAGCCACCCGCCTTGTCTCCAAACTAGAGTACTAGGATTCCCCAGAATTTCTGCTTCAGACCTGAACAGGGTCACGTCATTGTTTCACAGCAGTGAGTACCACATAGTTGATTATGTCGGGGAGTCTTTCTTCCAAGACCACGGAAAACCAACTCGATGCAAAAACATTGCTGCCATTGCCATCGTGGTCAAATTCTCATTGGTTTCATTTGCCACAAGTTTGGGTCAATGCTTAGTTGTCCTCGACCAAAAATCCCCCTTTGCTTCCTGCCTACCGCGTGCTAGTTCCCTCTCTCAGCTCAGTGTCCTGTTTTCAAAGTTGTCGTGTACCTTCTGCTCCTAAACTGGTGGGCAGTGGCTCTTTTCAACCCACCTTTCTGTTACCTGGTTGTTGCATATCTGCACATGTACGCGTGGCAGTTTTGGACGCCAGTGGACGTCATGCAGGGATCCAGCATTAAAGAAAGAAACAACACAGAAGCCCATGCCTCCCACAGCTACAGGCTAGGGTTATTTTTAGATGCCTTGTCACTTATGGTGCAGATAAGGGGTTGATTTCTGTTGTATCAGTGTGTCCCAAATGGGGTGGCATGATTACAGAAGTAGTGTATTCCCTCTACGCTGAGGTTGGAAACCTCGCAGTATCGCTAGATTGTTTGGCCGTTCTTTTTCAGATCAAACTGGGCCTCCCTACTCTCACTGAGACTTGGGCACCTATTTCATCCTGCTTAAGATGCTGAAAAACCATGTTGGCAAAAGGTGCGCTTTTTGTGACTTCCTCCGAAGAAGAAGGCACAGTCCAAAAGTCTGCAAATGATGCATTGCAAGCCACTTAGTCACCGAATAGGTACAAGAGGACCTGGCCCTTCAGAGATCAGTTTGCTCTAAGAGTTTTTTCAGTCATGTAGTAATAGATGCATCTAGAGGCAGAGCAGATTAGCTGTGCACTTGGTCATGCCACTGTATCTTACGCTATTTTATAGACCAGCCCAATCTTGTACATTATAATGTCCCTGGCGATGCTTTCCACCCTTCCAGGAACCAATAACCCCCGTTCTAGCCCCCGCCAGCAGCTTTCAGTCATTGATGTGATCACACAAAATGAAGTCCAAAGGTGCAAAGGGTGTTATTTGCAAGCACATTTGCCATGATAATGTCATAACTCTTTGCTACTTTCTGTTTCAGCTCCTCCTTTAGTCGCCTTTCCCCCCCTTCCATTGCCTGGTTCAGGTACTGGTCCCTGCTGAATATTGCCACGACTGGGACCAGAGAGAGATTATAGAAGTTTTATCAGCAAAATGATTTCAGGCGATAGGGTAGGTACTGCCTTCGGTTTTACTTGTTGCAGTGGCTAGCTCATCTGTGGATACATATGGAGTCTGATTTCATAATGAGTTAATTCTCATTCCACTCTGCAGGAAGAAAAAAAAATGAATAAAGCAGCAGCGGCTGTCACTTGTCTATCAGGGACCATTTGTCTCCCCAAATGCTGATTACCCAGACAGTAATTTAAACGTGTGCTAGATGGCAAAAAAACCCATTGAGGGTAGTAACGTGGAAATAGATTTTTCTAAGGATGAGGTGCAAGATGCATGTCTTTGGGTCGGATCACGGGGCTGTGATCTTTGAAACCTGTTTGCCCATGTTGCCAGTTTATACCCTAGACTGTAATAATGGCCGTTTGCTCCTTGCTTAAGTACTAGGAGCAAGGACAAGACATTCCTGCTTTCTTTACAAGCGGATGTGTGTTGTTATAAGGGACGTTCACCATATTTATAATATATGTATTGCATCTTCAGTTCTTTTGTGAATGCAACAGAGCAGCACATCTCACTGCAAAGCCACTTAAGGCTTATTTGTGACGTTTTGTTCTAACTTGGAGATAAGGCCAGTGGGTTTGCTGCATGCATCATAATTTGCTCAGTACAAAGGACCATACGCCAGGCTTTGGAAGGGGTTTGATCAACAGCGTCTTTTCATGTAGAGGAGGGAGTGGGGCTCCCTGTAACTCTGGACCATGCAGTCAGTCTCTTGTGCCTTGTTCCTTCCTCTGTAACGGCGGGGAGCTTGTTTGCACCCATCCTCTACTAGCTTGCCTATTTAGGATGTGGGCTGTTTGGGACAACTGATTTTCCCCCCCACCCCCCCCAGTGTGTTTGCATAGTGCCTAGATTCTTGAATGGGACTTCTACAATACAAGTGGTTTCTCTTAATAATGAAAGCAAAGGGTTAGTTAGAGCTACTCGAACTGAAGCCTTCTTATAGCATGTTCATTACTTCTTTAAGCTCCTTTGGGCCCCCCCGTACCAATTTATACAGAATCTGATTATGGCGGCGCAGTCCTGCCTATGCAGCCCGGTTGGCTTCAGTACCCGGCGTGTCATTATACAGAGCATAACAGCATGGGGGAGCAGATTGCCACAGACAGCAACAGCTACTGAACCTAGGGCGCTCTTTGAAAACAACCCAGAAGAACTTCTGAAAGGAAATATGGCAGGTTACAAATGTTACATGGGTGCTGTAGGGAGAAAGGTAGGCTAGCTTTTTCCTGTATGATAGCATTATTGAGAACAACCTGCCTTCGGATATGTATGTTTGAGTCTTGACCCAAAGCCCAATGGAGAATTTTGTGGCTAATTGAATGATATTTGCTCGGGCCACATTTTTCCCCAGTGTTCACTAGTTTGGGCTGCAGGTGCCCATCGTTAGAGGCATACACCCTGCAGTGTCGGATTCCCCAACTAAAATTAATGATGATTTTTTTTCTTGAAAAAACCGATCAATTGAGACATGTGGAGGGGATTGTTGCAAAAATGTAGAAGATATTTTCATGGCAACGGGTTTTTTTCATCAACCTTTGAAATGGCAACAAGAGGTCCCGTTGAAAACATCAGCATAAGAACATTACGACCTGCTCCTCCTGCCTCTACTGCCGATCCATAGATTGGGGCTGGGGATGGAGAGGAATGCGTTGCATGGTTAAACTACTATCCACTGGCTAGAAAACCGAAGATGACATCAAATTATTTTGACGATAGGGGATTAGAGTAGCTCGCCTTCTAGATATGCAAGCAAAAGCTGCCCGCATTCATACTCAAGGAAGCCCATCAACTGCAGCAGAGAGAGAAGCTGGTCTGCTGTGCTTTTCAGCATATCTGCTAGATGTTACATAAAAGAAATAAAGGTTCTTTTGCATCTGGCATGTGCAGAGTCTTTCATGTGCAATACAACCCCCCCCCCTTCATACCTATTAATTTTTCATTCCTCTCATTTCTCGTATAGTGTCGATGGCAGCGGTCGCAACCTTATTAGATTCATAGCACCCCTTGTTTGACTCGAGACACCCTCCATCACTGGTGTGAATTGAGCGGCACCCCATTTCAGACGCTAGTTTCTTTATTACAAGGCTCAGATCCTTGCACAGGGACAGGGCAGTGGCCAGGCAGGTGCTTCAACACCCTGGCTGAGAATCACTGGCCTGTGGGAAGTAAAGTATGGTTTCAAAGCCTTGCCTAAACTCTGGTGCCAGAGAATAAATGGGAAATTTTGTCTCTACCGCAGCTTCGCTTGCTGTCTCTGTAGAATAAAGATAACCGTCTCCATTTCACGTGTAAAAACCTTGCATATCCTCTGGTCCGCTACCCGCCTCTGATGCTGGCTGCAGAAAATGTAACAGTGACACCGGAGGCATGAACACCACCTGTTCCACAAATGTGGGATAGTTTTATATAAATAATAATGCATCCAATTAAGCATGTGCCTACCTTTTAAGCAGGTGACTATTCACTGGAATTGCTCAGATGCTTGACGTTGGGCGCGCGCTAGAATACCTGGCCGAATTCAGGGCCACGAAACCCTTGAGCACTGCATGTTTGTGGAGGCTGTCTCTACTGCTGTATATTGAACAAAATATTTCAATAGCTATTAAGAATTTAAGTCTGTGTCCAACTGGGCAGAATTGATTCTTATCTTTGTGTGGCACTTAATGCTGAACGCAGCAAATCCTGGACCATGTTTCCAGAGCATCTCATTGCAAGTGGCTCATTTTGTCTGCACTAATGGGGTAGTTAAGTGCAATTGCCCGCCACGATCTGGCAGCAGTTGCAGTTGAGACGGCCACCTGAAAATTGGGAGTGTTTTATCGAGCAGAGGCAAGAACATAAAGAAGAAACGTAAAGCTTGTGAATTTTCCCCTTTTGTTTCACTGCATGCTTTTCAGCGACGATTCTTGGAAAGGGGGCGCGAATGCTTGCAATTAATATAATCCGAGAAGGGTGGGAATTTAAACCTGCAGGGATTGTTTTTAATTTCTTCTGAAAAGTTGCTCCTGGCAGAGTCTGATAAGGATCTTTTTCGTCTGGTTCTTCTCCCTCCTTTCCTGAGAGATCTGATTACCGTTATCTTTGAGCATCCCTTTCGTGATCATTGCAGCTTGCTTTCATTATATCTGATACCTCCCAAACTGCCAGACTGTTGCACGGTGTCTGTAAAAAGCAGCCCAAGCAGCTTTCTTTAATATCCATGTTGCTATGTGGAATTTACTGTATTTCTGGTGGTATTTAGCCATTCTGCACTGAAGTTAGCTGGTCATGTGCAGGTAGGGTGAAGGATATGGAAAATATACGTTCAAATGGCCAGCTCTTGAAGAGAGAATAACATGCCTAAACCTACTTGCAGGCTCTTAAACCCATAAGTGATTCTAATTTTTGTATCTTTTGCATTCAAAAGCTTGTTTAACTCTATGCCAACTAATGTGGTTGGTCCAATAAAAGGTAGCACCCAAAGAAATTCTTGCCTCTTGTATAAACCTCGAGTAACCTAAAAGAACTTCCCCATCGGGAGTCCTGGGATCTGCTGCAGTCTTCCCCTTTTAGAGGAACCTTAATAAAGAAGTTGCATCTTCTCTTCCAGAGCCTATGAATAGGAAAGGCCATAAGAAATAAGCCGGCACAATTCACACATACTTGGTAAACGAAGATTATCTTCCTAATGCTTGAACTCTGAAATGGGAAGCACATTTCTGTGGAAATGAAAATGCCGGCCCAACAACAATGGAACAGGATATTGCATTGCAGAAGGTGTTTGCTTTGCAATCTGAGTTACAGTTGCATGGACCAGCATAATAAGGAAGTATTTTTAGTTTTGCTTAAATATATTCAGTTCAGATTTTTTTTTTAAAGCAACTTAAAAGATGCCTATTGAAGGCTCCAGACACCTTAATGTAATTCATAAATACAATTAAATTAAATCTAAGCCCAAAAGAATTGATTCTGAGCTTTTTAGGGACATCACTCTGTTTTTATTCTATGCGCAAAGCACTAGGCATGGTGCTGGTAGTATTATTTCATGATTTTTAATGTAGTGGACATAGCTTCTTTATAACAACACTGTTCCTCTGTGCTTTATTTTTTCCAACCCAAACATTGCCACAATCTGCTTGAGCCAGAGATGCAGAAAGGGGAAGGTTAAACTAGAAATCAGCCTCCACAGGGATTTGAGAGGGAAGCAGCCACGTAGTTTCATTTCTGTGCTGCCACGGATAACATCCAAGTTACGCTCCTGACCTGACAGCAAACTCAGCCTGATGGTAGTGGAGCAGGACTGTTTGCTACTCACAAGCCCCTTTGCAGGTGTACAGACCAGGATTTTTGCAGCATGTGGTTGGCGTCAAGGAGTAAAAGGTTTGCAAGAAAGGTTCATGCTTCATTTAGGCAAGCATCTAAGACTTTTTATTTTACCTTAGAATGGCCAATACTGCCAAATTTTGACTTGCTTCCTGCTCATTTCATGGGAGTGATTTCATTTTGCACTGGTACAGCTCCGATCAGTAGTTGGCCTTTAAAACCCTGTGTTTGCATCTCATGTCAATGGAAGCTGCATCTGCAAACCAATTGCTGTGGCTCACGCTAACTTTCTGGGTTGTGCACTTTCTCACACGGAGGGCAGCTTTCCATGTGGCTTGAACCCTGAAATGTTGCAGATCAACGTGACAAATTTTGTACCCTCCCTTTGGACCAACGGGAGCGTCCTCCTGGGGTTTGGGCATCGTTTTCATTATGACGTCAGACATTTGTCTGGGATTGGAAATGGGCGTTTCTGGAGTGGACTTTTCAACTGCAGTTGAGTGAGCTCACAGCTTGGGTGAAGGATGGGCGTGATCGGTTGGGAAAACCGTCCTTTAAGAACTACAAGCCCTATTAGCATGAGAATGTCGGCTCTACCTCTGGGGCTGGATCCAAAGATTATTTAAGCCAGTAGGAGTCTTTCTATTGACATCCGTGACCTTTGAATCGAGCTGTTATTTTGCAAAGTGCGAGTGCCTAAATTATACCCCTGTCCCCATTACTTTGAAGTGTTTTCCACCAAAAACCCGTGAAGAAGTGTTCTTTGTCCACTTCGTATGCTTTAAAATAGACAAGGTCAAAGCTTACCTCACCGTGGCATTTTAGCTGACAAACCCTGTAAGCAGATGGCCTTGTTTCAAGCTGTGGGAAGAGTCCTGTTAATGAAATGCAAAGTTCTTCCACTGTTAGAAATGAAAGATTAGTCTGAGCATACCACCTCACTGAGCAGCATCCATAAATCAGAGGTCCAGCTTATTTTCTGCAGGTAGCCCACATATGCTTCAAATCTGTGCACCCTATAAAGGTTGGAAATACTGGAGAAGAATTCAAAAGCAGGTATAATGCATGCTCTGTGCAAAGGCTTTTCAATCTTTGACCCTTGGTGGCATTTGATTATTCGTCCTACTGTCATGTCTGCCTGCATGGAGGAGCATGATTCAGAATGTATGTGAAAGCAGATGTGTGTTAGATCCACCTATGCATATGCTCAGCTGTCTATTTTTAATTTATATATATTTGTAAAAGACCACAAACACAATCGGTGCCAGATATCAGCTTGAGGTGCTATATTCAAGCATAAGCAAAATTTGCCCAATGTAACAAGTAACTTTGTACGTTCAGATATACCTGAGCATCTGTGTTTCCTTTTAACCAGAAGGAGAAAAGTACCACCTAATAGTTAAAGCGTATCTCTTGGACTGACATCCTATGGCAGGAAGAGATGGCACCATTACATGTACATCCTCAGCTCACTAAGCACCTTGTCCCTAGTATGGGACACGGATCCTTTCTCTGCCAAAGTTTAACCAGGCTGTAAAATGGGAATGCAAATACCAACCGTACCTGCTTGTACCACTCTTCTTGGAATAGTTGCAGAGGCTTTCAGATCCTCAGAATGGCTCTGTGTGTCAGCACAGTGTTGTTCCTGCTGTGTAATAAATGGTAAGCGAA